TTTTTTTTTTTTTTTTAAATCCATTGAAGCTGCCCATGTGGGTGCCCGTTTACTGCTGTTCTCCCCCGAAAGTCTGAAAGTTTTTAATAGCTTCTTGCACAGATACGTTTTCTTATTACTGGTAGCAAACAGCTTTGACTGTTTTACCATGACATGATCTGTAAGAGTAGAGCAGGGGCTTGCATAAAACAAAACATGACCTTAATGAAAACAGTTACTAGTTTCTGGGGCTACTCAGCAATGGCTAGATTTTCTCTCTCTGTTTTCAGCTATTTGTTCAGACTCCAATCTTTTCTGTGCATTTAAGTCCCATGGCAAGTGGGCAAAGCAGAGATTCACTGACCAGGTCCTCTGCAAATGTCTGTGAACCACCAGAAAATACTAGAACATGCGGTGTGAGAACTGTCCCTTTATACCAGTATGTTGGGTTATTTCCTTTCATTGCTGGAATTACTGTTGGCAAATATCAAATATAGATCAGAAGTACATTTATGAGCATATGGATAATGTGGCGTCTTTATTTTTGGTTCCTTGAAGTTTATTGCTGCTCACATTTGACTAGGTAAATTGGCTTTTGATGTCTTTGGTCTTCTATACTTAAGATTTTCTTACCTCTGAATTATATGGTTTCTGAGTTACTAACTGGGGGTCTGTGCCTGAAAATGTTGCTGACTTATCAAAGAATTATTCTGAAAGAGAAAAGGACTTCAGAGAATGAATGGAAAGTAGTTTCCTTAGTTCAGCTCCTTGCTCTGCCATGCTTTCTCATCATTTTTGTTTTATCACAGATGGCAGCCAATTCTGCACGCTTCTCTAAGAATCAGCTCTTGTTCTTGAACCAACTATTGTTCTGGTTCCTCTATCCCATGATTATTCTGCTCTCTGTAAGAATAACTCAGTTATGTTTAATTCCCCTGGTAGTTTCATGCTCGTATGAGTAGTCCAGTGGTAGGTTTGTAATATCTTGTGTCTATACATTTTTTTGTAAGTTGAAGTTTTAAATCTTTATGCACAGGATTTATACACAGGAGTATCTGCTGCTGTGTTGTCCTGCGACTAGTAGTGCTCAGTCTTCCCTCTTGGTGTTGACCATTTGACCATCCTGTTGAGTCTTAATGATATGTTAATTTTTTTTTAATTTTATTTTATTTATTCAGTTATTTATTTATTTATTTAGACACTAGATTCTTTGGGGTAGTATGTGCTTGTACACAGCAGCGCAGCAGAACCTTTACCCTGGAAGAGGCTTCCGGCTTCCAAGAAAACAATTTATCAGATTAGTTTAAATGAAATTCAGTTGGGTCCTATACCAGTGTTTCTTGATGTGTTTTTCTTCTCTGCTCAACTTTTCCCAGATCGTTGGCAACTTACTGTATTACCGCTACATGAATCCAGCCATTGTCGCACCAGATGCATTTGACATCATCGATCTTTCAGCTGGAGGTCAGCTGACTACAGATCAACGCAGAAACCTTGGTTCCATTGCAAAGATGTTGCAGCATGCTGCATCCAATAAGATGTTCATGGGAGATAACGCACACCTCAGCATTATTAACGAATACCTGTTGCAGTCATACCAGAAATTCAGGTAGAAGATCTTCACTTATTAAGTTGAGAAGCTTGGTAGAGGGAAACATTGCAAGTAAAAAGGGATTATCATAAATTTTAAATACAATAAATTCGATCTCTGTCAAATAAGTCGTCTGTTGAAAATTAAGAGATTGCACTTAAAACTGCCATAAGCATCGGTGACAGTGGCAGATAAAATGTGCCTGGAATTTATGAATGATACGTTGCATGTTAGTGAGATTGAGAAGTCAAGTATTTTGATTTGGGAGTTTCCAGAATAAAGGTTGCTTTTGCACATGTTTATTGTGATACTTCAAATGTGGACAGCTAGACTGGACATAGGTTCTTCTGTCCCATATGAACCCTGGCTTCTCTTGAAAAGCCAGTGGTGCTGAGGAATGAAGCAGTTGGGCATTTAGATGTTCATATAGCCAAAGTAAGTTTTTGTTCAAGAATTGTCATCATATGCCTCGTGTTTTGGAAGAAATTTAGAGAATGCTGGGAGCAAGGGGCGTTACTGCAGTGGAGGCAGGAGAATGTGTGAACAAGGTCACCAAAGCCATAGACCAGTTATGTGGATGCTGAAAATGAACCAGCGTCAACATGGCCAGTATCAGTAATTTAATTTACTAGGTTATTTCTGATGTGTTAAACTAGAGCTGACAAACTATAGTATGCAGTAATGTGCCATAGTTTAAAAAAAAGGAGACTACAGTTGGGATTGTCATACGCAGTTAATGCTCTTCATACATCGCATGACACTCAGGCTCATACTGATTCTTCTCTTCTCCTCCTTTTTTCTGAAGACGTTTTTTTCAGGCTGCTTGTGAGGTTCCTGAATTGCAGGATAAATTTAATATTGATGAATATTCTGACTTGGTGACTCTCACTAAACCAGTTATTTATATTTCTATTGGTGAAATCATCAATACGCACACTGTAAGTATACAGTGAGTCCTTATATTCAGTGGTCACAGTTAGCTCCTTTTAAGCAGTGCTTGCAAAGAAAATTCTGCTTCTGGCTGAAACGCAAAGTTACCAAATACAAGGCAAAAAGTTATCTTTCAAGCATAGTGTGTAAAAGCTTGTTGGCTTATAGAATTAAGTAATTTGCTTGTGACTTCTCTAAGTTTCTTTTGGAAGTATTTGAGTATCTGATAATGGCATAGCTTCGAATGTTGATATTGCTGCTTTGGAGTTCAGTGTAATAAGATCTTTTCTAAACAATACCAGCTCAAAGTAATGTTATTTTACTGTGTAGAAAAAGGTGTACAATTAACAAAGTAAATGTTCTTTTATGTTCATTTAGTTGCTCTTAGACCATCAAGATGCAATTGCTCCTGAGCACAATGATCCAATTCACGAGCTGCTGGATGATCTCGGAGAGGTTCCTACGATTGAGTCCTTAATAGGTGGTCTAGTTTATTGTACTTCAGAATATGTAATATTACCTTAAATGATTTGAAGTGCAGTAAAGAAACTATGTAAGGGATCATCACAGGTCATTGGGAGGATGCGCTCTAAAAAGCAGCAGTAGATTTGTTCTAGTGTATTCTCTCTGATTGCAGAATGTGTTACCCTGAAAAAAAAAAAGGGGATTCTTTCTCTTCTCTCCACACCCCCTCGCCTCACCCCACTCCAGAATTTTCTAGAAGATGGACAGATACTTTGACATGTTTTCTTCATTCTAGTATGCTGGGGCAATTTCTGCTTGTGTGTGTGTCCCAGCTTGTTTGTAAAGGTCTGTCCTTCATTGTGGAGATCAATATGCATTCTTCTGGAGTGTGGTAATAAGCGTATTAAATGACATGTGTCCCTATAGGGATCTTTGGCATATGGACAAATACCTTTTTTCCCCTCCTTCAGAATTTATTTTTCTCTACATTAAGAATGTTATCCTCTTATAGCTGGGGGAGGAAGGAACTGACTTCACTAGTTTCTGAAAGTTTTCTAAAAACCTGAGCCACTGTTCACTACTTCAGGATCTAGCAAATACTGGAAAATTGCACAAGCCTTTATCCTTTCTTGGTTTCTATGTTGCAGGTATTTGAAGTGTGGAATCTAGGGGGGAGGGGGTGTAAGTGTTTTTTGAGAGGATGCTTGACAGAAAAATACTTACCTTGAAGTTGCTTGATGAGAAAGATTGGAACTTTTTAAAGGAATGATTGCTAGCATGCTTTCTTCAAAGTACTGGCAAAGAACAGAACATAAGAAGTGTTATCTGAGCAAACCTAGACCTTGAGTTTAATCAGAACTTACCCTCGTTCCCCATTTCATTTCTCCTGTGTGTATTGTATTGATGTGGTTAATACATCAGAGTTTAATCTTCTGCAGCCCTTTAAAAAAGGAGGCAGGAAGGGAAGCATCCTAACAACTGTTCTGATGTAAGTTCAGAACAATTAGGACAAGAAAATTTCCTTTTGACAAGATAGCTTTCTTTGTTTAATAGAAGATGACAAGCTTGGTTGCCAACAGGCTTCATTCTTAGCTTGGAAAATTCATTCTAATGAGGACATGGTCATAGAGGCGTGGTCACGTTTTTATTTATAAAGTGGTTTTGACAGGTCAGCTACTCTTTTCACTAGAGAGAGAGATGCTGAGATACAGTGTGGAATACACAAATGTCTTTAAGACATACAAGCCAGTGATTTTGTTGTGCCTTTCTGGCCAGTGTATTCTCTCAGGTTTGTGAAGAAGTAGTTTGTAACATACTCAAGATGATGATTTTAAAAAAGTTGGTGTTGCCTTTTAAAGTGTCCTTTTGAAAGTAGGAAGCAGTTGTAGTTTTTCTACGATCTGTTAAGATGGGAAAAATTAAAAATTTCTCATAGTCAATGATGTAAAAAATCCAATTTAATCTATAAACTCTTTCTGCTTGGCAGGGGAAGGGTCTGGCAACGTTAATGACCCCAACAGGGAAACGCTAGCAAAGACTGAGGTTTCTCTTACACTCACTAATAAATTTGATGTTCCTGGTGATGAGAATGCAGAGATGGATGTGAGGACTATTCTGTTGAAGTAAGTAAGGGGAAACTGTCTGGTTTCTCAAGAGAACAAGGAACCTGAATTTTCACAGTTGATCTGCATATGAAAATAAGCAAGTGTAATTTAAACAAACGTGGGACTGCTGCTCCCAAGTACACTGAGCTTTCAATGCTGGGGCTGTCATTTTTTCCTGTTAGTTCTTCATTGCTGTTGAATTTGTCATTCTTTAAAACTCTATTTTGGATGATTCTGAAGGGGAAAACTTCCTAGATGTGAGAGAGTGACGGCAGCAGTTGGATTTGCCTGTTTGTGAATAATTTGTGAAGACCATCTTAAGTAATCCGTATTGATCCTCACAGAGGAGTTTTAACTCTGAAGTCTATTAATGTAAGACTTAGATGATTCAGTCTTTGTGTTGCCTGTAGAATGCCCTGTGCAATGTTTTCAGTAGAATACATGAGATATAAGGAAATGTTAAAGGTAAGTTGTCTAGTGTATGTGAATAACACTTTGCTGCTAAGTTTGCTAGCTCCTGCAGTATTAGTTTCTTTATGCTGTTGCTGCTCTCCTCTTGGTTTATGATGTAGTCCCATTCTCTCTGCACCTGCTATCCTTCAAACCTGACTCTTAATAGAGGAAAATCATATTTTTGAAAATAGATGTGTTATTAGACTAATACCTATCAGCCCTGACAGAACTCAGTCTGAGCAAGGACATTAAGGGCAGCAGGAAAACTTCTGTAGGTACACTGGGGATAAAAGGAAGATAAGGGAAAATGTGAGCACCCTCCGTAAGGAAACAGGAGACCTGGTTACCCGGGACATGGAGAAGGCCAAGGTACTTGGTGACTTTTTTTGCCTTGGTCTTCGCCGCTGGCCAAGTCGCAGAAGGCATGGCAGGGACTGGGAGAATGAAGAACTGCCCGCAGTAGGAGAAGATCAGGTTTGAGACCATCTGAGCAACCTGAAGGTGCTCAAGTCCCTGGGACCTGGCGAGCTGCATCCGCAGGTCCTGAGGAAGGTGGTGGATGAAATTGCCAAGCAATTGTCCACCATATTTGAGAAGTCGTGGCTGGCTGAAGGTCCGGGTGACCGGAAAA